CCTGGGCCACTGCAGCAGAGCATATACACTTAACCGCTTGCACCACCGGGCCGGCCCCCAGACTCTGTTTTAAACCAGCAGATATTTTGGGAGAAAGGAGCTTGCAGAGTTAAATCAGACTTTTTGCAATAGGAATTCTCAGATCCTTCACCATGCTTAGGTGTATTGTAAACCTCTATGAAAGCAGCATTTCTGCAAATATATTTGACCTCACAACCCTCCTTTTCTAGCCAAGGATCTCCCAGGATTAGTGATTTTTAAAACATACGTTGGGAAATATTGGAGTGGAGGGTCCATAGTATCTCATGTACTCAAGAGAAGCGGAGGGACAAAAGGAGGGGGCTGGATGTGGCCCTAAGCTGGTCGGTGGTCACGGGTCCACACAGAGCGCCCTTTGCCCAGACCCAGCCACTGCACAGCCCCTCCGCTTCCGGCTGCCATGTGATAGCCCAGGGTCCATTTGAGATGATTCCTTAGCCTTTCATTCTTCCTACTGCTAGACTGTATCCATTTCAAACATGAGGCCAGTTACACAGGGTGAGAGTCCAGAGTCCACCAAAGGGGTGGACATCCAGTTCTCTGCATCCAGAGGGGTCATCTCTTCCACCACCCACCTTCTGAAGAAGGTTTATTTAAAACATACATACACACACATACACACACACACGTACATACATGCACATACATGCACATACATGCACATACATACACGCACATAATATACACGTCCACGCACATACGTATACACATATGCACACACATATACACACATGCACACACATACATATGCACACGTGCACATACATGTACACACATGCCCACACATATACACATACACACATACCCATCCACACACACACACATACACACGCACACAAATCTGAACACCTAGAAGGCAGAAGAGAAAGGGAGAAAAAGGCTGAATAGTATACAGACTCTGGAATTGGCCCCTGCACCATTGATAATACTGAATGAATTTCCCAAATGCTGTGTAGCTTCCTTATTTTGAACCCCGTGCTCTGTGAGCCAGGATTTTATCTCTGGCCCACAGAGCACCCGCCGGGGTTCCTGGGCTCCCTAGGACGCCCAGCCTTGGGCTTCTCAGCTTCCAGAGTTGGCCTGAGTGACCATGGCGCACACCGACCATGTCCTGCTTGAACCGTTTGCAACGTCCACTTTGAAAGAATGAATTACATTCAAGGGAGGGAATGCGGAAGAGCCAGGTCCAACTTAGCAGGCAGAGCGAAGAGATGCTGAGCCTGAGTCGCACCTACCTGAGGAGTCCAGGTGAGAAATAACGGAAGCAGAACACAGTCCCGAATTTCCGCTAAGTTCCCACTAAGTACCCGCTGAGTACAGGTGCTATGACAAGAACACTGCAAAGTAAATGTTTTTCTCTCTTTTGTAATAGAGTGATGAAGTAAGTTGCCTAAACAGCTGGTAAATTATAGGGCTAGGATTTTAAACTAGGTTTTCCAGACTCCAAAACCAACTCCTCTCGACTGCTCTAAAGATAATTCCCACCATAGCCCAAAAGGGAGAGGCAGGAGGCAAACCACAGGTTCAAGGCCAAAGGCAAGGCTGGAGACCATGTATGGAATGGAGGACAGAGCCAAGAGTTCAAAGCTGAGCAGAGGTAGGGATGGGAGGGAAGTGCAAATTGGGGGCAATCTAGAGGGTCCCAGCAATTACTATGAACATCTTTGGTGTGTCCAAGACTTGGCCTCACCCGCAGTCAGTGTGTGCGGTGTGGGGGCTGCTCAGAGGGTCAGCAGATGAGCTAACTCTGCTGACAGTCCCTGTGTCCCCAGCAGCTGGTGAGCCTCCACTGAGACCCGAGTCAGGGGAAGTGGATGATCGGCACCCCTGAGGGGACTCGGGCTGCCCAGAAAAGAGGAGCCACAGAGCTGGAGGTGTGTGCAGAGCCCCAGGGCAGCATCTCAGGATTCCAGGGCGGTCCTGAGGAGTTAGACAAACTTGGATCCAAACCCTTCCTCCACTGCTTGCCAGCTGGGTGACCTTGGGCAGCTGCTTAATTTTCCAGAGTCTGTCTCCTCATCTTTGAGATGGAAACAATAATAGTACCTATCCTCAAGCCTCCTTCTAAGGACTCAATCAGCTATTCCATGTGAAGTGCTCTCCACAGAATACTACTCAGCCATCAAAAAGGATGAAATCTTGCCATTTGTGACAACACGGATGGACCTTGAGGGTATTATGCTAAGCGAAATAAGTCAGAGGGAAAAGTCAAATACCATATGATCTCACTGATAAATAGAAGATAAAAACAACAACCAACAAACACACACAGAGATACAGAGATTGGATTGGTGGTTACCAGAGAGGAAGCGGGGAAGGAGGAGGGCGAAAGGGGTGATTAGGCACATGTGTGTGGTGATGGATTGTAATGAGTCTTTGGGTGGAGAACATGATGTAATCTACAGAGAAATCGAAATATAATGGCGTACGCCTGAAATTTATTTAATGTTATAAACCAATGTTACTGCAATAAAAAATAAATAAAATAAAATAGATAAATAAAGTGCTCGGCACAGCCCGCACAATAGTAAGTGCTCAGTAAATGTTGGCTTTTCCTCTTAGTCCTGGGTGCATGGTCCTCAGGCATGGGCAGAGAACACATTGCTCCTTGAAGGCAGCAGAGAGTATTAGGGGACCTCCTGTCACCTCGGACCTGTGGCTCCCGGGGGTATGAACTTCACCCTTCTCTCCTCACCCCTTTTCTTTTTGTAAATTATATTTCTGTGCCACCAAAGAGTAACTTTTAGATGCCTCATTGCACTCAGCAATTGAGCTGTGCCACTATCCTTGCAGAGAGAGTCACACTCCAAACATACCCAGGTTTTTTGGGTTTTAGAATCAGGCGGACTTGGTCCAAATCCCAGCCCTGCCACTTCTTAGCTGAGTTGTCTGGAGCGAGTTAACGGATGCTGCAGAGCCTCGGCGTTACTCGTCTGTGACAGAGGAAGAGTAGGACCGACTCCATGGGTAGGTTGTGAAGAAAACATACATCAATTCCCTGGTGGTGTCCTGTGGTTATAGGACTCCCCTTCTGATGGGGACACACCTCTCAGAGCGGATTCCATCATCTCTGGGAGGCGAGCTTCTTTGAAGATTCCAGACCCTCTCCCAACCTGGCAGTGGTGGTTTTCACTGGCCCCCCTGCAGCAGAGAAAACCACCCATCAGCTCTGCAAGGGGCTGCCCTCCACCTCTTCCCCAGCCTCCCCTCACCCCATCCCCTAAATCCCGGCATCTGTTGCCCAGAGAGCCAGCTGCCAAGCTGTGTCCTGGTCTCTCCCCAGGTTAATTGGATATGTCACTGCTTTGTTTTTGAAGAAAATCTGGTATCAGTGCCAGGCCCTGGGGAGGCAGATCTTGCCTCTGCTGCCAACTGCCAACCGTCTTCCGTCTCTCTCATCCTGCCCTGGAGTCCCAGGTGATCCCCTTACAGAGTGTCTCTCACCAGACGCCTGCTGCTGGGACCCTGCAGAGGCAGGGACAGCAAAACTCCAGGCTTCCTGGGGACCAGGCGCACGCCCTGAGCACCGCTCCGCAATTTTGTTGAAAGGCTGGTGGTCACGTCTACCTTTTCTTGATAAGGGTAATTATTTTCCTTATAACAACAGCTAGATGCTCCAGACCTTACACTGTGGAGAGAAGGGGAGTCATTCCCATTTAGTGAGCTCTTCCTCTGCTCTAGGCACTGTAGGAAGGTTTTACTCATGTCAACACTCTCCTAGTCGTGCAAGGAAGGCCTTATTAAGACCCCTCTTTTACAGGCAAGAAACCCAAGTTGCAAGGTACCATTTCTAATCCTTACAACCATTGGAATTTTTATCTCCATCCTACATATGGAAAAACTGAAGCTCAGAGAGGTTAGATAACTTGCCCGCAGTCACACAGCTGGAAAAGGAGCAGAATAGGAATTCAAAGTCTGTTTAACTTACAACATGTCACCACTTCAGGACTGTGTAAATAACAAGAGAGTAAGCCACATTGGAGAGGGAGAAAGGAAGTAGCTTGTGATTCTGCCACTTGTTGCTTTGAGCAAGCTGGGAGTCGTGGTCATCAGCCAGGAAGTCCAGGTGCCTCCTGACCGCTCGCCCCATCTGTGTTATGAAAAACAGAACCCCCAACTCTTACCTTCCTCAAGGCGGTGAAGTGGCGATAAGAGGAATACAAAAGTATCCGTGAAGCTTGTTGCATTTGCCCACCCCAGAATCATTGTATCTCAGGAAAAGTTTGGATCAGAATTTGCATACTGGTGGCCTGCAGGCCGAAGTAACCTAGAAACATGCTTTGTTTCGACCAGTGGTGGTTTTTAAAAGTTCGGATTAATTGCTAATGTTTAAAAAGTATAGCAAGTTCACATAGAACTCTGGATTGCTGAATTATCTTGAAAAATCAGAAGCTCTAACAGCCCCGGGCCTCCATCCCCACAGGGCCACCATTGGCTGGGGCTGTGCAGCAGCTGCTGCCTTTGAGAAGAAGGTGCATCCCAGCTTGCAGCAATCCCCAGCACTCCCTATTACCCTGTGTCAGGAGGAGTGTCAGTCTCCCTGTAGCATGCATCACCCTCCTCCTACCAGTTTTCTTATAATAGAGGTAAGAGGAAATGAACTTTCTTTTGCTCTATAAAGTGGGAAAAAATTAAAAAGCCAGAAGGGAGAATGCATGTTTCTATGTAAGAATAAATATTTCTGCCTGTTATCTGTACCAAAAAAGATATAACCAAAGAAACAAACCTGGCCCTCTTCTCTCCTGCTTTTGGTCTCTTCCTAGTGGTTGTTGGCATTTGAATTTAACATCATTTTAGACACTTTTTTAGACAGTGTCTGCTGCAGCTGCCCTTGTAGAGCTGGGCATCTGCAAGGTGGCCTGGCGCTCAGGTCCGGGACTGTTCTCCAGCCTCACACATGCGCTGCGGGGCCTGCCAAAGCTTCCCCATGATGGTTTTGTTCCCTTTTTTGTCTTCTCTAGGTGTTCCCTTCCCGAAGAACTTCCTTCAGATCTGCAAGAAGATCCTGTGCCGCCTTTTCAGGGTCTTCGTCCACGTCTACATCCACCACTTCGACCGCGTCATTGTGATGGGTGCAGAGGCCCACGTGAACACCTGCTACAAACACTTCTATTACTTCGTCACAGAGATGAACCTCATAGACCGCAAGGAGCTAGAGCCCTTGGTAAGTGTCACCGTGCCGTGATGGCACCCAAGTCACCCCCAGGAGCTCAGCCATTGGTCACAGTACACTTCCAGACCCATGAAAATGCTCCCCAATGGCTAGCCGTTAGCTGGAGGATTGCAAAATTAGACAGGATTTAGAGGTCAGATAAAAGTCGGGAGATGCTGAGATGTCCATGGCCACCAAATAAGGGTCTTAAACTTCTCTCTAAGAGGTGGCAGAATTTAGTGGGATTGTAATGGTTTGGGCCAGAGAGAGTAGCTTTAATTCTTAGCTCCAAAACCAGTCACTTATTTACTTAATCCCTTAAATGGGCATCTTTGATCTCGCATGTCATCTCTTACACTGTTCTTCCAAGATGATCAGAAACATTTCTTGAGTCAGTAAATAAATATTTTGCACCTACTATGTGGCAGCTACTGGGCATGCAGAGTCAAGTACAGATGCCTGGAGTAGCTTTTACTCCAGAGACAGAGACAGAAGGAAGCCCCAGATGAGAATATAGTATCACAGGGACTTTGCTTTTCATACTGAAACCCCTGTGATACTGTTTTAATAGGATATATTAGAATCCAGAATGTTTGATATGAAACTGTACTATTATTGTTTAGGTGAATTGGGACTACTTTCATTTTCTTCATAAGTTATTTTTACAGTTGGACACAATCTGTGCTTTAGAAGTCACGGACCTCTGAAAACCCCATCATCTTTTGTAACATGTGTTATCTTAATGTGGATGCCCTCATCACAGCTATTTCTAGTCGGCTCTATCGAGTACTTTCTTAACCAGTAGAATACAGTGCTTTATAGTAAAGTCACGCTTTTTCCTTGAAACTGTTAAAATGGCAGTTTTGCTAAATATAACTAACAGAGCAACTAAATTTCATCAAAGTCCATCTGAATAGTGGCCAGAATGCAGGGGCCAGGCTGTTATCATCTTTTGCTACCCTATCTTCCTTTCTCTTTATGTACATGTTTTTTAAAATATAGGTTTTATTATTATTCACATATGATAAGGCCAACAGATCAGGAGATGACTGCCATTGAAAAGATCATTTGTTATACTCACAGATTCCCAAGAGAATGGGGCACACCATGTCCCAGGGGCCACACGGGAACCACCAGCCTTGGTCAGAGGCAGAGGGAGCAGGGAAAACGTGGGCAAGAGCCTTTATTGTGGTTTTCCGGGGAAGGAAGGGGAGAGGCAGGGAAGCAGGTTTAAGATTGACTAATGTGAGTAATTTTAGCGGGCTCTAGGGCAGAGGGATTGTCCTTAGTTGTCCAGTGCCTGGTCCAGGGGAATAGTAGCCCTAAGTGTGAGAGGCTGATGGAGGAGCTGGGCTGGAGGTGTGGGCTCTGGGTTCCTGGGTATGTACTGGTTGGTGAGTAAACAGCTCTAGGGCGAGTTGTTTACTATCTCTAGGAATTGGCTAGCTCTGGGAGGGGCAGTCCCTCCAGGTCAGCAAGGCCCCAGATGTTAAAGGGTCAAAATATAAAGAAATAAAAGATGTTTAACACAATACAGTACCTGTGTCTGGCAACAAAGCTGTTGGTGAATTTCATATATGTATCACCTTTAGAGTTTCTGAACTTGAAATCTATTATCATGCTATGAGAGTACATGGCATAAAATATTTCTCTCTGCATCACTCAAGAGTTCTGGAACAAAGCAAGACTTTCTGGGTACAACTGAGGTGTATCGTTGGCCGAAGAAGTGCTAATTTTCTTCATTTTCTTTCACGACAGCTTTCTAGAAAGTTCTCAGGGGCAGGAACTAAGTTGTCCCTGAATTTGGTTGGACAAGTAGTGTGGAAAGAAGCTAAAATGCGTCATGATTGAATTTTGCTAGTTTGTCCTGTGTAAAGGCTGTCATGAGTAAATAGCCTCTACAAGAAGAAAAGGTTGTGCAAACAGCCCAAGGGAGTTAAATGCTGGAAAGAGTGATAAAGCTAATTTCAAAAATGTCAAGGACAAAGGGAAGTGGATAGGGGCCACATAAGTGACGAGAGTAGAGAAACCACTCTGATCTCGTAGAGAACGTGGTTCCTCGTCTGGGAAGTTTAGTTCAGTTCTCTACAATTGACATGTTCAGGTGGAGGGGAGATAACTTCTCCAAAGGCCCCACAGAAGGAAGAGGCTCTCCTCAGCATTTGCGGTCTTGGTTTTGCTGAACTAAAGGAACAGAAACATCAGATGGATAGAGCGGAAAGTGAATTTCTTCTTAACATACAGAAGCATAAAGTCTGTTGTAGGACAAAAGCTGAGTATAAGTTAGCAAATAGAGAAAGCCTTTCTTTACCATCAAAAAACTCTGTTATTTTCTATAACTGAAGAAGGGCTCCAGGGATTCTAACACCTGCCAGTGCCGGGAGCTGACTGAAGTCTCAGAGTCAGAGACAGGTCCTAACGGCCCAGTATTCTAGATAAGAGCCTCTTTAGGGGCCTGGGAAAAAACTACGATTGGATTAACCAGGAATTATTAACAGTGGAAGAGAGCAAAAAGGGTATCAGTTTTTTCTCTCAGAAGCTTATATTTCTTTAAACCTTGCTTGAAACAGTATCCTTCCTACCTTTATATTTTGTTATTTATAATTACAGGAAGATTAATTTTAATGCTTTGACATATTCATAGCAAGTATTTTTAAGGCTTAATTCTCTGAAATTATATATTCATTTTACACAAAACAGAACCTATAAAGTAACAGAAAAAAGATATTGAGAATGTTTCTGAGAACAGTAGTTATATAATGTCAGGCTCTGAATACTTATGTAGTCCAGTGTCCACCAAGAATACCGTACTTATTACTGAAATGGGGGCTTGCAATAGTTGATAGTGCTACAATACCTAACTTCTAAGTCTACTGTTGCAATGCATATATTAAAATCAGTCATATCATATCAAATCAAGACATTTTTATTTGATTTGCACATATCAAGTACCCCACATATCCAAAGCACATTGCTCAGATGTTCTAAGTGCATAAGAAAGATATGCTTTTGAGAATGCACAAATGCAGTCTAAAAAATATAAAATAATGACTGTCACTCATCTTCGGCCCTTGAAGGATGATAAAGAAGTCAGGCATTTGGCCTCACATTCTAGTTGGACATTCTTTATAATAGAATGCAGCTAGGGGCCAGAGGACAGCATTTATCCGGCCAGTTTCCTTTAGAACATTAGCATTCCCAGAGTTCCCACACCTCCAGTGGGACGTTCCTGCTGTCATGCCCTGGGATTCCACAGTGTAGAACTCGAAGACCCCACCTCATGTTTCTATCCACCACACTTCCACCACGCTCACCCTTTGCTTTTGTCTGATGTTGATTGAGTGGCCAGCACCCCACAAGGGTAAGAGATTCAGTCTCAGTGCTTAAGACAAGGCTCCAACTCTCTGAGTTCAAACCCTGGACCCTTCATTTGCTAACTTGCACTCTTGAGCAAGATAGTTGGCTTTGCAAAGCCCCATCTTCTTCATTCATAGAATGAGTATAATAATAGAATTGCTGTAAACATTAAAAGGGTTAGTCACATGGTAAGTGCTTAAGATATGTTAGCTGTTGGATGACATAGTGAATGTAAAGTAGTGGCATGTAGTAAGCAGAGATACCCTAATTCTCCCTTCCTAGCTCCCATGACCTTTGCCATCTTAGTGATCCCCTAGGTAGGCTTGTAGCAGATAAAGTTCATTGTGTTGGTATCAGCGTCTCCCAGGGGATTGTCAACTCTGAGGGCTGGGAGTATACAAGATATATGCTTGCATTGCCCGTGTTACTTAGCACATAATAAATGCTTAATGTGTTTTTGAATTGGGAAGAGTACTTTGAGGATGATTCACCTCCATTCAAAGGGATTATGCAACAAGCATTCCTTCCTTGGTGCCACGCCCATCTCGATGCCTGCAGACCTCCACTTATTCATTGCTGGATATAACGCTTCATCCTATGGCATTAGCCATAGAGATTAAAAGCAAAATAAGGCGCAGAGCCGTGAAGGGATGCATCATAAGTCTTAGGCCTGACAGAGAAAGATGGGCCTCCACCTCCCAATCAGTTCTCTGTTCCTGATTCCAACTAGGTCACCTGGGGGATGTTAAATGCTCTCACACTGCCTGTGTGTCCTGGCGTGCTGGGCATAAAGTGACCAACCCTCCCAGATTAAGCACTAAAAATCTCATGTCCTGGGAAAACTCTCAGTCCCTGGAAAACAGGGATGGTTGGTCACCCTGTCAGGCCTCTGAGTGGGAATGTACTTTGGAATTCAGAAGCTGAGAAGAGGTCACCCTGGCCGGCTCAGTGAGAAAGGCCAGCTCGTCCATCTGCCTACAGGGCATGCCTTGTGGCTCCCGATGGGACCTGCCGGTCAGCAGCAGCCTGGGAAATACGTGCCATTTCATTTGGTCTCCAACGGGGAGTGGGCGGCTGGAGCACTGACAGACACAGACGACGTGACAAGCAATCCATTTCTCATGTAAATGCAACAGCTGAAGATGACTTGAACTCAAGCAAGTTCACAGTTGGAGGAAAAGAGCCCAAATGGTGGTGGTAATTAGAAAATGGGCCAGGCCCTGATTGAATGAGCAGGCTGGCTGGCGCTTGGCAGCCTGGGAGTCAGCTGACAGAATTGAGCTAATCCGAATATCATTAGCAAGCACTGCAGCCAGCAGTGTTTTGTTGGCCTTGCACTAAAAACAAAAGCAGACTCGGAGAGGGCTGTTAGCAGTGCAGGAGCTGGTGAATAAAGAGCTGATTAGGCAGGAGGAGAGAGGTTGGCGAGGTGGGAAGGAAAGACAGCGGGGCACTTGTTACCCCTAAGGCACCTGCTGACTCCTGGGTGACCTTGATCCACGGCCTTCACTTCTGTCTCCATTTCCTTATTTCTAGCAGTGGAGATGATTATACCATCACCTACCTTGTAGAGGTGCTGCTGTGAAACCACATCTCACCGCAGGGCTGTTCTGTTACCTTATAGCAGGGCACTTGGGCCATAGAACTTCTCCGTG